AACCTTTTTTTTTACACAACAAATTAAACCTAAAATCGACAACACACAAGCAAATACCACATCTCCTAATCAAATCAAAATTAATCAACCACAACAACACCACAAGGTCGAAATCATGAAATTCAATTCGAATTTAGGGCTCTTATTTAATTAAGAAAATGAATAATTACAAGAACCCAAATTCAAAAATCAGCAAAAAAAGATCTGATAGAACAACGTTGGAGATCGAAGTTGAGGAGGAAGACGCTCTTCGTTGATGGAGGAGTAAGAACACAATCACAATCGAAATTACTCAGCTCAATAATAAAATTTTCGATTTTTAGGGCTATTATTGAATTTAAGAAAGGGAAAATTACAAGAACCCCAATTTGAAAAATTACATACCTTAAAACCTAAATGTAGACCAATAAAGTTGAACCCAAATTCAAAAATTATGCAAACTGAATGGAGTTTGTTGGAGCAAAATCATGAACCTGTAGGAGGAAGGAGGAGCGAAACTGAAAACTAAGCATGAGAAGTTGGAGCAAAACTGAATAATAAAGAAAAAAAATTTAAGTATTTTGTTTGTATTTCAATGAGAATTGTTTCCTTTCTTCAAAAAAATAAAAATAAATTGTTTTCTTACTATTTTTGTAACTGACGTTTGTAAGCTAGTTACAAACTTTTTGGTCAAAGTTTCATCAACTTAATATTTGTAACTGGCGTTTGTAAGCAAGTTACAAACGCTTTGGTCAAAGTTTCTTTGACTTAATATTTGTAACTGGAGTTTGTAAGCTAGTTACAAACGTTTTGGTCAAAGTTTATTTGACTTAATATTTGTAACTGGCATTTATTTAGTCAGTTACTAATAAAACTTCAAATAATGATAAACCACATATTAGTAACTGACATTTACTACGCCGGTTACTAATGTCATAAAATTTGTAACTGACATTATCTTAGTCGGTTACTATTAATGCTTTCGTAACTAGCATAACATACGCCAGTTACAAATAAGGCGTTACAAATGGCATTTTTTCTACTAGTGTTACCAAGACTGTGTTGATAAGGATAAGCTTTGCCGCTTGAGAGAGGCGTAACGAAGCCCATGACACAATTCCTTACAATACTTTATCCACTAGGTATTGGAACCAACTTCTTTTTTCCTAGGATGTCTATTGGAGCCCCCAGATGAGTTCCCATGTTACCAGTTTCTGACATAGAAAGGATTTTCTTCAAAGCCAGCCTCGTGTTGTTGTCCAGCCTGGAGAAAACTTCACAAAAGATTTTTTCAAATTTAATTGTTGACCAGAATCTTTCCCAAACCTCTGAAGGATGCCAGTAATGCATATACATGACTCTTCATTAGCCTTAAAGAACAGCATTGCATCATCGACGAAGAGCAGATGAGAAATAGAAGGAGACCAACAAGAAACGTTCAACCCCTTTAACTGGTTGATATCTTTAGCCAACATTAGCATTCTAAAAAGAATATCCATATAGAAAATGAAGAGATAAGGGGAAAGACGGTCCCTTTGCCACAATCCACAATTCGGAGAGAAATGTTCTGTAGTTTACCTGTCGATGATGGCTTTGAAACTAACCGTCGAGATACACTGGAAGACCATCCTAATGTAGTGACTAGAGAAACCATGAGCTTGTAAGATCTTAAGGAGGAAGAGTCGGTCCACTTTGTCATAAGATTTAGACATGTTAATTTTAACTGCTATGAAGTTCGAGCCTATTTTTTTTTATAATATGCATCAGCTCATGGCTGAGGAGGATATTATCCTCCATGTATCTCCCTGGGATGAAAGCATGCTGATTTTTTGAAATGAGGCCAAAGAGAACACTCTTTATCCTATTGACCAGACACTTGGAGATGCACTTGTAAATGGTATTGCGCAAGCCGATCGGCCTAAATTGATTAGCCATTTCTGGAACTTTCATCTTTGGTGTCAGCACCAGTAAGGACTGGTTCTATTCTTTAAGCATATTTCTTGTTCTCATAAATTGTTGTACACTGTCCACCACAAGCTCCCCTACCTACTTTCAATAAATGTGGAAAAAGTCAGTCGTGAACCCATCCGGCCGCCTCGGAGACTTAAAATAATGCATTTTAAACATTGCTCTTTTGATTTCCATATCTGTGAAGGGGCGATCAAGACTAATTTGATCCTCCTCAGACAATTGAGGGATATCCAACTGTCGAAGTAAGAGGTCTATATCCTCTCCATGACTATAAAAAAAATGATAGGGTTATAGAAATTCTTAATAGAAGTAAGAATCACATATTCCACCTCCTTTTGCCCCTCTACCCACGTCATTATCCTTCCTTAGAGTTAGAATCTCGTTGTGAAGCTGACGTTGCTTCACGTTCTTGTACATCGTAGGAGTGGGGCAATCCCCAAATTTTACCCAATTCGATTTCATTCTTTGCTTTCGAAAGTTGTGATAATCTGGCTTTCCGGAATGATAAGGTTAATATGGTGAATGTAATTTTCTCTTTCTTGAATTGAATTAATATCCGTCGCCGAGCTCTTAATATCCCTGGTGATTTTCCTCCAGTTGATCCCCAGTATTTTTTTTGTTTTCCAGGCACCAATGCTGAAGTCTTGACCTTACCCTAGTTAGCTTCTTTGAGTGTTGAAACATGCAAGAGCCATGAATACTTTCCCTCCATGAGTTTCCCACAATTTCCTTAATTTTTTTGTAAATTGAGACACCAATTTTCAATCTGATAATGCCTATTAGAAATGGTCGTAGTTGGTTGCGAAACATAAGTGATTGCGGCATGAACGGAGCATAAAATTGTTTCATGACAATCCTCTTCCCTTTTGTTACTCCAAGTAAACCTTGGCCCCAAGAAAGGCACTTCTGTTGTATTACTACTAAACCTCCATCAAGGAATGCATCAATTCCTCTAATAATGACTTATCCACCAAGTTTATCGCTTCCACTTTACACTTGGTTAAAGTCACCTATCACTAATACATTTTTAAACTCATCCAAGAACCATTAAAGTTGTTCCCAATTTGTAATACCCCTCATGATTGCTTTAAATGGATTTAATATACTACTCGTATTAACAAGATGCATCTTCTTTTTAGGGAGCTTATATTCTAAGCATCTAAGATACTCCATAGTTAAGCGTGCTTAGTTGGGAGTAGTCTTGGTATGGGTGACCTCTTGGAAAGTTTTCCCGGGGTCACATAAGTGAGGACAAAAAGTTACTTATAACCAACCAAGTAACCCATGAATAACTAACCCCTAACTGACCAGATAACCCTTGAATAAATAACCCCACAATAAGTATTCTCGAAATATAAAAGTACGTACTACGGAGTATATAAATACTTACTATTACATTATCATGTAACTAGAGTGGGCAGCACGAGTGTTTGGGTCAATTTTAGATCTAGTTATTGTGGGTTACAAGTAATTGATGTAAGACCATGTTAATTACATTAGAATCGTTTGTTTGATATCATTTGATCTTGATAGTTGAGACCAACAAGAACCATATGTATTAGAACATTTAGAATTGACATTTAATAATGTTTTCTTACATTTAATAATCAATTTTTTTAAAAAATATATTGTGTGAATATCATTTTAGCTTAATTTCAATTCAGTTCATCTCAGCTTCAATCAATTTAGTTCAGTTTAGTTCAGCCAATACGGTAAACGGTTCTGTTTTGGATTAGGTTTATCAATTTCGAGTTATAATGGGTTCAAATAACAAATGGGTTGGTTCTGGTCGGTTAAAAATTATCGGGTCATTATCATCAGTTCAAGTCATAAAATTTGAATGGGATTGTCATAACAATCCCGTTAAAGTTGAATAACAAATAAGATTATTAGAGTAATTTTATCTTATTTTAAAAGCATGTTTTAACAACCCAATTCCAATTATTTTTTATCATGCCAAACTCATAATAAGGGTATTCAATTCGAGATAAGCTACTAGAATTCAAATTTAATACGATTAAAGTAAAACTAATCGAGCTATGTAATAGTTTAATCTTTAGTATAGCTCACTTGATGTGCAGTTTTGCAACTATGTTCACATATATATATATTTCAATTCGAGATAAGCTACTAGAATTCAAATTTAATACGATTAAAGTAAAACTAATCGAGCTATGTAATAGTTTAAAACTAATCGAGCTATCAGCTATGTAATAGTTTAATCTTTAGTATAGCTCACTTGATGTGCAGTTTTGCAACTATGCTCATATATATATATATATATATATATATATATATATATATATATATATATATATATATATATATATATATATATATATATATATATACTAACACAATCTTGATGTTCTTTTTCTCTCTCTAGTTTTTAGAGAAAGATAGTTCCCTCTAAGGTTTTCCCTCGGGAGGGTTTTTCCTAGCATCTTTTGCTAGGGTTTTTTCTTTGTTTTTTCTTCACTTCTTTCCTACTTTTCTTCAACTCCTTCATTCTTGATTTTTATTTGTGAATTTTGTAGGGGCTTCCGCTGGTTTTTACCGGTGGAAATTCCCAAAATCTCTTTAATTGCTTACAATAAAAAGATACCATCCTTAAGATGGTGTTCATGGTAGGGATTTTGATTACTTGTTTATTGAAAAATGAAAATCGAAGGTTTTGCAATTTCTACCGGAGTTTAGAAGACCACGGAAGGATATTCATCCAAAAAATTATGCATCTGCAGATTTTATGCCGAATTAGAGCGAACTCACGGATTGTATTGCTTCGGATGAAGTTTTTTGTTAAGGCTATTATCAATCAATTCTGCGATGTTAATTTTAGGGTTTTATATGTTTTTGTTGGAATTTTAAATTTCTCAAAAATTTATTGTAAGTGCCGTTTGGCTATTTTATAAATGAAATCTTTAATCTTCCCGTAAAAAATATATATATATATATACTATTAAATTATATCATTTATATATTACAAGACCACAAAACTAATGTAATTTATTAGCAATTCAATTCTTATGTTTATTTCTTATTAATTTTAATATAGAATTATAATTTTACAAATGGAGTTGTTGGGATTTGTAAATACCTAGAATAGCTAATCTTAAAATACAAAAATTTAATTTAATTTTACAAAGATACAAGTGAAAATTAGGAGGGAAACTTACCTCCTTAATTTGATAAAGCATATAATTTGATAAAAAAAATTTGTGGGAAAATTACCTTCAACAAAATTTGTGGGAAAATTACCTCCAAAAATTTATCAACTAGTGAAAAATTCCCTCCAACAATAAGTAAATAAAGATCGTAAAAAAAAATATAATAAAATCCTACTCCCTCCTGTTCTTCGGTTCTCTACTACATTCTCCATTCTCTATTGTTTACCGATTTCAAGCGTTTTCTCCATCAGCTTTCCACGGTCTCCATTCGGGTGGCTTCCTCTCTTGATTTCCTCCATTGAAACAACTTTAAGGTAAGATATTGCTTCTTTATCTATTCATCCTACATCAATTTTCACAATATAGGGTTAATCTCGTTAATTTGATGATAATAATCTGAAATTTAGGGTTCCTATCTTGTTAATTTGATGCTAAAAATTTCACAATCTAGGGTTTGTCTCTTTAAATTATTCATCGTTATATATTCTCCTAAGTTTCAACTGAGTTAATTTCAAATTTTGCCCATACTTTAAATATAATTTTTCAGTGCAAAACCACGAATGAAATTGAGTCAATTCAATCAAATAACACAAATGAGATTGTTTGTAATTGGATATTTTGAAATTGATTTTATTGATATTCAATCAATACACGAATTAAGAGCAAATTTACCAATAGGCTCTTTCTTTTCCAATTTGTTTTTCAATCTATTGAAAGCAGCAAAACAAATTAATCTTCTTCCTCTCTCCTATTTTTTTCATTGTATGATAAATCTGGAAAATGATCATATTGAATTAATGGTTTCAACGATCAGATTGTTTTGGATGGTTGGTTCTAATTTTTGGCATTTTCTTGTAGTAGATTATCTGAGTGTTTGTTTCTCTCATTTTATTTTTTACCAATTTTGTTATGTTTGGTGTTTGTTACACCATAATCATGGATTATATTGGTAGTGGTAGAAGCAGATTATTTAGTCCTAAAATTGATGCTATAAACCAGTCCATATATAGAGTCATCAGTAGTTGTGGATTCAGTATTACGAATGTCTTGCTGATATTGACAAGACTCACTATCATGACACCAATGTTATGAATATTTAGAAAATTGCCTATGGTTTCTTGTTTTATTGTTAAAACTGGATTTAAATACAAATAAATACCATCTTACATAGCTTTTGTGTTGTCCAGAATAGAGACTCGCAGCAGATGCAAGGACAGAGGAATGCAATGGTAGTAGTTAGTCTTGGTGCTTTTAGTTTTTCCGAACTCCAGATGATGCCTCGGTGTTGCGTTTGAGGCTGTTAAAGCCACAACCACATTAGCTACAACTGCTACCGACACTGCAGCATGTAGCTGTTCATTGTGAGTTCTTATCTCTTGTTACTTTTTCTATCTTTAATCCTTAATTCGTGTCCACATTTTTCTCCATTTAGTCATCCTTTTGCATAGTTTAATAACTATGACATGTATTAAATTAGCTGCTATTAGTATTACTCAGACTAGTATGGTTTGGTTGGATACCGGACCTTTATGCTTTGTTGCTTGTCTCAAAAAATCATAATGCATCATAATTTGAGCTATTCTTTTCTATGTTAATTTTGATTGCTAAAATAGTTTACAATAAAGGTAGTTCAACTCTTATGAAGGAGTCATATAAGGATAAATTATTGTGGGAAGTAAGAAACTAAGAACATTAGTCTTCTTTTCAAAGGTATGCTTAAAATTGGAATTCTAGAGAGGGGCTTTCTGTGACAACCACAACTCATATATGCTATAGGTTAGGTTTAAAGTTTTAATATATGCTGCCTAAGTCATTTTTTAATCTGATTTATTTTCACTTACCATTCTAAATTTGTATATATTTTCTTTAATTAAAAGTGGGAATGGGTTGATAAAAGGGGATGAGGTTAAGACTAAAGACGATATGATGGCATTGCTTTATATCTGAGTTTTTGTATTCTACTGCTGGTGTTTCTGAACTACCATTGGGTTCTTTTTATTCACATGTGCCATCCTTCGATTCCTTTCCTAAAATCTTAGTTCTTTTGTAGATCATATATGAATCTGGCCCCTATTTTTCACTTTATAGAATTTTGGCACTTGAATCATGGGGCAGCCTCAAATGGCTGGAGGTGATAGGGCTGGTGCACCTACACCATAGAGATAAATGACCAACAATGCCCTAGCTTACCTGAAGGCAGTGAAGAAATTATTCCCGGAGAAGGAGAAATATGATTAATTCATCAGGACATTATGAGGCAATAAGCTGGAACATTGGTATTTTAATTCAGCCTAAGATGCAGTTCTATATGTTTCAGAATTCTGTAGCCTATCAATTCTAAACATCAGTTCTGATTGTCAGCTCTGAAATCAGATCTAAATTATAGTTCTGAAATTCATTTCAAGATATCAGTTTTGTTTTTTAGTTATGAAATCAGTACTAAATTTCAGTTCTGAAATCAGTTTTGAAATTCAGCTCTGAAATAAGTCCTGATAATTATTTCTAATTCAGATCTGAGACGGTGTTCTGAAATCAGTTGAGAGATTGTGATTTGAAATTAGTTCTGAAATTCAATTCTGAATTTCATGGTTGGTTCATTTCAGGAGTGCTATATTGTTGGGTCTTTTACGAAAACAAGTTGGTTTCTGCTACAATGGCTACTCAGATGAGCAAGAACCGAAAGTTCGGTGCTGATGGTGTCATTTACGCCGAACTAAATAAAGTTTTCAGGAGAGAACTCACTGAAGATAGCTACTCTGGTGGCAAAGTTAGGGTTACTCCTATGTGCACGTAGATCATCATTAGGGCTACTTATATCCATAATCTTCTTCGTAATTTACCCCTTTTGTGTTTTGGATTCGATTTTTTCAATTCTTTGTTTCTGATTTTTTAATTTTGATTGATTGTATTAGGTGAGCAGGGAAGAAGGATTAAGGAATCCCTTTTTTTTTAAGATGGATGAGTGTGATGTAGAAAACTTTATAGCCTTTTGCTGGGCTATTTGTGGTGCTAGGAACTCTCAGATCATGGAGGGGGAGTGTAGGGACTATGGGGAAGTGCTGAGCTATGCTATAAAGACTGGAAATTCCAAGCCTGGTTTCTGCTGTGCTGTTGCTGTTGGTTAAGGGAAGGCTGCTGTCGATTGGACAACATATGCAGGACTCTTAAAGGTTAATGTTGATGCTGCCTTTGTAGGTGACTTTGAGTGTGGTTTGGGGTAGTGATCAGGGATGGTTTTGGTGCTGTTATGGCTTCAGGGGTCCAGTAGGGCAGTGGGATGTGAGGGTGGATGAAGCAAAAGTCGTGTGAAGCAAAAGGCTATGTTTTTTTCATAAAATCGTAGCAATTAGGTCAAAAATGCTATGATTTTGAATTGTAGCAAATACATGTTCCTATGTGTTCTCCTAGTTTTGAAGTTCAAAACCAGAGCAAAAGGTTTGAATAAAACCGTAGCAAGTGTACTAGTGTATTTTGCATTGGTACTGCTCTACTTGTTCAGAATTATTGTAACGTATGACTTTTAATGTCAAATATATTCATCAATTTGACAAGACTAAGCTAATGTTCTAAAAAAATGCAAATTAAAAAAAAACAAAAATTAATAATAATAAAATGCAAAAGAAAATATTTTTTTTATGCCATTTTACACTACATTGTTTTTTTTTTTTTAAATAATCAATAATTATAAGATACCACATTTTTTAAACAAATTTATTTGAATATTATTTGGGTAAATGTCATATGGTTATAAATTTATAATAGTGCATAACCAGCAATTTTATTTGAAAGAATTTTTAATTTTTTTTACATATTAATTTGTATTTCATGTTTGAAACTAATTGTAAATTTAACCATAATAAAAGAAATTTTGTTGTAAGATTCCTATCATTAGACTAAGTTTATTTTCTTTAAAGAAATATGGTCAGTTTATATTAACCTATGTTTGCCACATAAATAAATTTTGATGTGGCACAAGTGTTATAATGATTGTCACATTGAATAAAATACCCGTGACACAAGTGTTTGTTTGCCACGAGAATAATACTGTCGTGGCATTACTGTCTATTTGCCACGGGAATATAAATACGTGTGGCATAAGTGTTTATTTGCCACGGGAAAAAAATATAGTCGTGGCACTAGTTTCAGTTAGCAACGAACATCATTTTTCCCGTGGCATAATATTTGTTGTCATATCAAGTTTATTATTGAATTTAATTTTTCCCGTGGCAAGATCAAATTATGCCACGAATTTATAATTCCCGTGGCATAATTCGTGGCACAAGTGGTGAATTGTTGTAGTGTTAAAATACACCCTTGTACATGAAATTACAGCAAGTTTAAAGCTTTATAAAAAATTGAAATTTACTTTACACATGAAATCTTAAAATTATAGTAATATTTAAAACTACCAATATTATATATTAAGTTAGTAGGCTTTAAACTCAAAATTTCACCAATTCAATGCAAATAGAAGCTTCAAAAACAATAACCTAAAATCTGAAAAATTTATCCTCAAAACTAATCTTCAAAATTCAATGTTTTATACTCACAAAATAGCCCCTACAATTATTTGTAGGAATTAGAATCATCATGAAAGTATGAAGTTACCACAAGTAAAACCCAAAATTAAAACTTTGGGAAATCTGAAAATTAGTTTTAATCATCAAAAATATAATTTTAACATAATATAAGCACTATATACTTTAATAATTTGACTAACACGTTTTGAGCCCTAAAATCATGAAAATCAAGGTTTAAACCCTAATTTTCATACTTATAAAAATCTGAAATTTTTGTCGATAAATTAAACATAGAAAAATTCACAAATTTATAATCTTTTGTAATTTATATGCATAATCAAACCATAGTAATAACAAATTCAGAACAAAATTTAAATAAAGATTAAAACTTGAATTAAATAACAAGGAGAAAAGAAAGGAGGAGGAAGAAGGGTATCATGTACGGTGGTGGTGGTCGCCTGGTCGGCGGCGGCGTGGCTAGGCAGTGGCGGCAGAAACAGCTGCGTTGGCAGCAGGTGATGGTGGTCAGCCATTTTTTTTTTATTGATGTGTGAATAGGAAGAAGAGGCAAAGCAACAATATAATTTTTTTTTGAGGTTTTACGTAAGATTGGAGGGGGATGAGGGGAAAATTTGTGGGTTTGAGGGTTTCCTAATCCAACCATATAATTAGGACAACTTGTTTATGCCTAAATATGTACCAAAGCTTAAATAAAATAAGACGTAAGGTTGGGCTTTGAGGTAACTTGGACTAGGCTATTAGTTTGTATGGGTAAAATGATTAGTAATCACTAAATAACTTTAAACTAATTTATTATTTACGAAACATTTATAAAATAATCATGTATTTAATAATAAACTTTAATTATAAATAATAAAATATAATTATAATAATCACAAAATCATGGGGGATTACAAAGTAAATATGCATCATTCATCAGATACATATATCATCTATATTCTATCATTGTATGATATTGCTTTAATTTATTCACATATCTTTACTTTTCATATTGCATTTAAAATTATTATCATCACTTCCAAATTAATTATGACTTTGATATATAAATGAATATGCATGCCAAGCATTGTAAGAATATTTTGCATTTTTTATGAAAGCATATAAGAAGGGATACAAACTCCAATCGGCTAATGGTTTTAGAAGCATATAATGTTCTAATAGCATTTTATGAACCATGAATGAAAATCAAGAACTTAGACATTGTTTATTTATATGTCTATCTTTAAAAATTTTACTTTTAAATATTGCAATATTGATGAGATATTATCCAAAACTCTAAAAAGATTATTTTGGACTAAATTCATGACATCTCAAACTGAATTTTGAGCATGTGAGAGTAGTAATGTTTTATTATTTGTATTCTCAAGAGAACTCTCAAATTAAATACAAAATGTATAAAGAACTGAAATTATGCAATACTTATCTGTGTGAATAATTTGTTCTGGTCCAGAAGAACCAAAAGCGATGCATTGAGATGATTCATGTTACCGATAATTTTTATTTGACAATGATGATATATATATGTTTTACTGGTGGTTGATCAAATATCGATAAAAATTTCAACTATTTATTAATGACCTCCAGAAGAAGGTACAAGCATGTCAGATATATAAAAATGGATAAGAACCGTGATTTTTGTATATGAGGATATGTGTTATTATCATAATATATGAAATTGAATTTTTTTTCAAAACATTAGTACATAAGAAAGAGATCTGTTCATCATTACATTCTATGTGTATTATTATGTTCATATGTCTGATGACAAGAAGATAATTTAGCGATTCAAGTAAAGATTTAAAAACTCAAGTTAATTTTGTAAATTAATTATCAACAAAGATTTTGCTGCTACATAGAAGAACTTGCTTGTGTACATATATTGGATTCATTCCATCTTCGTGTAGCTCTCCTTGGTGCCTACATGGGTCGCTTGCGACGAGGTTTGGGCCTCGCTCTGATACCAACTGTCACGGTCCGGGAGTTTGGACCCCGAAACGTGCGACGCGCTCTAGCCTTTTGGCGGCAAGAACGCTAGCCTTGAGTGGAAGAGGGGCTTGCGAGCACAAAGCAACACAAGCGGGCAATTAAATCAAGGAGCACTCGCGTCTATTTGAGCGACGGAGTGCGGGTGGTCGGGGCTTGTGACGGCCGATACTTCAAGGCGGGCACAAGCGGGTCCGAACCACGAGTTCTTAGTGCATCAAGTTGATTTGGAGGGGAGCTATTATGCAAGTAAGACACAATATCTATAAAGGTCTAACAACAAACAAGCATAAGAGCAAAGCAACACTTGGTAGAAGGCTTAAGATTTTATTAATCATTCACCCTCTAAAGAGCTTTAAATGACATACAAGGAGAATCCCTAGTGAACACTGATCTGACAGTAACACAATAATGAGACCTCAAGCTAAGAAAGCATAAACTAAACTCTAGGAAAGCACCTAAAGGGAAACTAAAATATCAAAAGGAGTTGGATTCTAACACATAGTTACATTGCTAATTCATGTAAAAGTTACCTTTTTTTTTTTTTTTTTGAGGGAAACCAAGCTAGTTTATTAATTTAGGGACAACTTGTCCATGAGTACATAAGGAGAAATTTCATTCCGACAAGCTAGTTTATTAATATAGTTACCTTGTAGTTTATTGTACAAAATAGTTAACTAAAATTGATGATATGCAATACTCGGAAAATGCTTAATAATCCTGATCAGTTGGCTAGCATTGGTGCTGATAACGTGTTATAAAATAAGGGGAAAGAGAGAATATAAGAGAGAGATATATAGAGATAGGCAATTGTGTTATGTCCATTCATCCATTTCATGACCATTTATATATATACATGATGTGAACATTGTAACCTATATGGACAATGAAGAGTCCATTCATGAGAGAGTTAATGTGAACTAATGACATATGGAGGGTTACAAGGATGCTATTAAAATCATACTTTTTTTTTTAAACGGCTATTAAAACCATACTTAAAGTAGTCATAAAAGACATAATTACAAGCTATAATGGACATTAATTAGGAAAAATTAGAAATAATAATCCCAACTTTCATCAATTTTGCTACAATAATCCCAACTTTGGATTATTCCGGAATAATCCGAACTTTAGGGGGTATTTTTTTTCTTCAATCCCAAACCGGTCAACAAAAGTCAATGACCTATTATATCAGTTCACTTGACATGTGTCAAGCCCTGATTGGTAAAAAAAAATTAAAAAAAAACCCGAAACTAACCAACCACCAGTCAGCCTCCCCTTCTCCCACCAGCCACCCTAACCACCACCTCACGGCCAACCTGCCACCCCTTTGTTGCCGACCAGCCGTGTGAAACAACCTCCACCGCGTCGCCGTCTTCCTCCTTCCCTGAAACAACCCCCATTCCCCACGAAACCACCTCCCCGAAACCCGAAACCCCAAATACACCAACGAAACTCTAAATCCACCAACGAAACCTCTCCCACCGCCAAAACCCCCAATCGTTCCTCTCACCACCCCGAAACCCTAAGCGGCTAGGGTTTTCGACGGTGGGGAGGAGTTTTTGGGGGTTTTCGAGAGTGGGAGACTGGATTTAAGCGGCGATTTTGAGTGGAGGATATTGGGGGAAAAGGAGAAACGACGAGGGGGAAGGGGGAAACTGGCGCAAGGGGAGGGGAAAGAGGGAACCGGCGCAGGGGGAGGGAATTGCGCCGCCGTTTAGGGTTAAACTGGTGGTTGGTTAGTTTTTTTTTTTTTTAGAAATTGTTTTAGCCAATTCAGTAGTGACACGTGTCACTTTTAAAAGTAAAAAAAAAAATTAACCCATTCAACCGGTTACCGATTTTTGGGATTGAAGAAAAAGAGGAACCCCTAAAGTTCGGATTATTCCGGAATAATCCAAAGTTGGGATTAATGTAGCAAAATTGATGAAAGTTGAGATTATTATTTCTAATTTTTCCCATAAATTATTATTTGTAACATTATTTGAATAATTGGACACAAAATTTCCTAATTTTATTACGAAAATACC